ACATACGCACACCTACACCTAAACAGCTGCCTGCAGGCACGCGTTATTTTTCTTAGTTTTAACCGACGAATGAGCTAACTCGCTCTCGATCGATAATTGAATCATAAAATCGCCCGTTGGGCTCCTTAACAGCTGCAAGGCGCAAAGGTATCCGCATGTTAAAATCTATCATGTGATTGCCATGAAGTCGCCTTCATGGAGCATTAGAAAAAAAAATGGATAGTATAGATATTTTTTGCCTGTCCACAGAATATGTGCAAAAAATAGCTATGCTATTAAAATAGAAATGAACATTTAAGCTATATTTATTTATACTTATTTATACATTGTGTGAACAACAATAATTTGGTTTGGCTGACATTTATCAGCTATACGCAGTCGAAATGCTGACTAATTCACACAATGCAGCAAAAACATGCCAAAAACTTGGCTACGCTTGATTAAGATATCCGTATTATTTTCTTTTCAAATGCTGCTTTATTTTTTATTTTTTTTAATTGAAGTAAACAAAATGTATTTTATCGCTGTGAATGAGATAAGGGGGGGGCCAAGAAAAAAAAAAAAAAGAAAGAAGCAAAATGAAAAGAAATTATAAAAATTCTGTTTTGTAGACTTCAAATTGTGTTTCTGGTTTCATTTTGGTTTTTTTTTTTTTGATCGTTGTTTATTTACATTCTAAAGTTGTTTATGATTTACCTTGGCGATCGTCAAATTTGCTTTCATCTCGTCTTTCATATTTTGTTTTGCGCAAATTTCTTTTATTCGCTATTTTCGTACTCTTTTGGTTTATACTCTGCATTCTTGGGTGTGCCCAAAGGGGTATACTGAGCACGAAAAGGGCAATCGACTATCCTAGATCAGAACTAAGGACTTATAACATATATTAGGCGATTACTTATAGATAATCAAAAATACTTTACTGGATCAGAGCTAAGCACTTATTCTATTTATTATAGAATACTTATCGATTGGAATAAGTTGGGATTATTATATCATTATAATTGTATGAGGATTTTAAGTGTCTAGAACTGTGCAAGGGATTACTTAGTTATCAGATACTATATATGACTCTACGAGCATGGTTAGAGTCTGGAACTGGAACTGTGGATTGTCTATAGATTGCATTGGATTAGGTAATTTTCCAGACAGTTAGATTACTATATTAATATTACTGTATGAGTATGTTGATTACAAAGCAAATAGTTCTCCATACTGAAATATTAAATAGACTTTTATAAGAAGTTCTCCTCCCTACAAGTTTTTCCAAAGTGGTTCGTAATAATATCTCGAGAATTATGTATTATTGGCTGATGCAATCTGTTAGGCTACACCTCTAGATAAGTTAAATGATTCGTTTTGGCCAGAACTGTAAGAGCTAAAAAACTCTTAACTTAGAAGCTATATACTTCTTTTATAGCTTACTCAGTATATAAACTTATCCCATTCGCTTCAAATGGATAAATGAATATAAATATTTCTTCATTTGATTTTATGCGCGCATTAGATGCCAAAATAAGTATTTGCATATTTGTTGCCCCAAATCGATAAATATCGATTTTCACTTGAGTCTCCACACCATTTTGTTAGGCCAGGCAAACCCAAATAGAAGTTATGTCATAATACGCTTTAGTCTAGCTAATAAATTATTGGGACTGCGAATGATTGTGTTGTTCCATGCATCATCTAATGTGATTTATATAATTTAAATTGTCTTGTTACACACACTATTTAATTACTGTCAATAAAAAACTAAAACGATGTGTAATCGATAAAAAGTCGTCGCAGGCCACACTCGAGTCTCTGTCAGTGAAAAATATTTTATCAGTTGAAAAATTATTTACAATTAACTGAAGCACACACACAAATATAAACGAAAAGCGAAAAGTGGAAGCCGGTCGTCACATTGTCTGCCAGCGCAAAAAAGCTGTATATAGCACTCATATATATGTATATATATATATATAAGCTGTATATATGTATGTGCATATACGTATATAATAATGATTCTGAGAAATTGATGTTTTTACTGAGCATGCGAACCACTAATGAATCATTTAGCAGATGTCTGTCTCGTACGGCAAAAGCTATGAAAACTGAGACGTATGCGACACTTTTTGAATTATTGCCAAAAGAAAATATTTTGTTTGAAAAGCACACGAAAATAAATATAAAAAAAAAACAAGAGTGCAACAGTCGCGAGAATGCCTGACCAGAAGATACCCTGTGCCTGGTTTCCTTGAAGAATGCGTTTGGTATTAGCTTCGGTATTTATTGTCCGATCTTTAAGGCAACGTAAAGGACATCAATAACGCATACAAATGTGTGTAGATACGAAAGCCCCAGACTAGTTAAATAATATATTTCTTATATATTTTTGGATAATTTTTGGAGGGGGAATTGTGGAAGGTGTCCCACAAATAAAATATACTTAAATTGGGGGCTTTTGGCTCTGGAATATGTGCAAAGTTCAAATTATCGTTATCGCTTGTTATCGATATTTTGGAATGGGATTAATTATAGATTATTTTAAGATATCTGCATAAATAGCAAGAGCTACATTCGTCATTTCATTTAAGTTCTCTAAAATCGTCTCGTTTACATAAACAAAAAGATGAACTGGCAAGAAAATCTAAAATCTGTAAATCTAAAATCAAACTATCGATTTTTTTGAAAATGTGCCAATTATCGATTATTTTAATCGAACAGCATTTGGAAGCTGTGTTCGAAATTTCTCATTCTCTGAGTTGGTCTGGCTTGCACATGCGAAAAGTCGAATAGACAAAGAAATCTGAAATCGAATAATCGATTGGCATCGAGCCAAGTATCGATTACTTGAATAGTAAAAATATCAAGAAATTTCACAGCTCTAGCTTCTAAAAATCTCTGAGATCAGCGCATTTACAGATACGAATAGATGAACAAACATGTCAATATATAATCGCTGATACTGATCATGAATATATATATATATATGTTAATATACTTACACATTTCATGACAACGTCATAATAGCTTTTACACGGGATTACACAAATAATATAAAATGCGAGCATTTTGCGTTTTGGCATCAGATTTTGTCATTGAATTAAAATGGATCGTTTAATTGGCCGCTCTCTGTGGCTAGCTAATGCAATGATAGATTAATTTGTTTACATTTCTCATCAAACTGAACTGAAGACTATTTTTAAAAACTTTCTGTCGTTATGTCTTTCAATGCACTTGGCATTTGGCACAGTTTACGATTCTTTGTCGCCCTGAAATGCTTAAATTAAATATGTGTACACATTTATATAGATATATCTACATATATATGTATGAATGTATGTTTATACAGCACGATTTGATACGCCCCCAATGTACATATTTGCATTGGCCAATTTTCTGTATAAACTTATAGTTTTTACCTTTCTGCAGTCGCTCGTCATGTCAAGCGACAACTATTCACATTTGTCTATAAAGTGATTTTCATGTTTCGATTGCCCCTTGTCAAATTATATGGTAATCATAAGAGAGCTTCTAAATTTAGACAGCAAATTACTTGACTACCAGCGAGTGCGTCCCAAATGATAGACAGGAACTTGTCCGACCCAGCCCCAGCTCCGAGACGTAGTCGCAAATTACAAGTTCACGATTTGTCGGGCCACAATTTTGTTTGGAAATGCCGCAATTTCATTTTGTTTTTTTGACATTTGCGGACAATTTGTCTATGTCTTACGGCACTCATCTTGATGATGATGATGATGATGATGATGATGATAATGTTGGGTATGTGGGGTAGATACGCACGCGCCACAAGCTACGTCTTATTTGCCATATTTGTAGTGTATAAAGTTGTATGTAAATGGGTTTTATTTGTGACAAATGTTTGAATGACTTTATACAATGGCAAATGATTCCAAATGCCCTATAAGGCATGCCACAAGGGGCATATGCGTGGGCTCCTGAGAACATTCAACTTTTTGTATATTCATTCTCTGTGAAATGATTTTCTTAACTTTTCTATATCTAACTTTGGGCGTTGGTCATCTTTACGGGGTGTGCTCTAGTCGAGCAGTTTTCATGAGACAAATTCAGCTAAGTATTATGGCAATAATAAAGAAACTTTTTGTATATTCAAAAGTTTTTTAAATTTTCTTTATCTTGCCATCATTGTGCGCTATTCATCTTTACAGGGTATGCTCTAGTCGATCAGGTTTTGTTGTTGTCATTCATCTCTATTTTGACGCAGTTGCTTTGAAATTGTCACATTGCATGACAAACGGAAGAGTCAACAGTTTATTGACTCAACAATGTTCTTTGTTTTATGTATTTTTGATCACAAATTGCGGAATTTTGATCAGCTGCCTCCTTCATATTTATATATATATATATATATGAATGTATTTATTCATGAATATAGTAGACTTCTATGAAGTGTGCGCGCGTGCGGCAATAGAAAATTGTTCGGTAATGTTTGTTTTTCCCAAGCTACTGAAAATTATACGAATATATTTTTTTTTCCAAGAAATTATAACGTTTATTAAATGTAATTGATTAGCTGTGCATGCTTGCAATAGTATATTAAAATAGTTAAAAAACTTGGTTAAAACTTGGAAAACTGTTTGGAAAAAGTCGAAATTTCAAAAGTAGAGATGACCTCGCAGTAGCTTGTATAGAGACAATTTGTTATCTTTTAAGATTAAAGATTTGAGTAAATGCAACAATTGCAAATGTTTGCATTTTCAAAGCTTTCTGAAATCGGACATGTAAATTTATTTTCCATTATCTATTATTCGTATATTTCTAACTCGCTTTTCAAGCTATTTAAGTACAGTGAGTTCCCAATCTCTGGTCGGTTCGAGTAATTTTAATAATATTACTCCAAGAATAAAGAGTTTGGGTAGATTTTAACATAAGCTCTCTACTGTTTATCTTAAGGCCAACAGCTTAGCTTAATATATATATTATATCTTTAAATATATATTTATATGATTAATTAAATTTAATTTAAATTTAATTAGTCTGCCAGGTGTCTAGCATTGCTGAGATCTCCGAGCTGTATGTGAAATCCTGTTACAAGCATCACACACAGCCGCTGAAGAACATCATGGAGCACCTGAAGGCGCTGGATCTGCACCTGGCGCGGCAGCCGCTGCTATCGCTGAAAGGCATTCAGCTGACGCCCAATGATTGCGAGCCGCTGGAGGAGATATTCATGCGGGTATGTGGTGCACAACATGTGGAGCTGCAGGGCGATTACTTTATTTAATTTTGTTTTACAAAACCCCATCAGATTCAATACAAAGCCATCGATTTATCAGAGTGCCCGTTGAACGAGAGCTGCCTGAGCGCACTCTGCCAGATGATTGAGTACTATGAGGCTGCCAATGAATTGGATATCTCGTACAACAAGGAGCAGATGACGGTCCGTGGCTGGGGACTCTGCACACATATGGTGGGCCGCAGCCAGGAGCTGCAGATGCTCAATGCCGAGGGCAACCAGATATCAAAGGTGGGCGCCGAGAATTTGGGTGCCGCGTTGAGTCTCTCCAATCTGCATACGCTCAAGCTGGAGCATTGTGGCCTCAAAGGACCTCCACTCACCAATTTTTGTAAGTGTGAGTGCATTCGCGTGTGTCTGCATGTGTGTGTGTGTGTCTCTTTGTGTGCATTAATTTGATAGTACATAAGACTAGTCTGACTGAAAAAGACTTTGAAAAAACTCAAGAATGTAAATGTATATATAAAATTGATGTCTGTTACAATTATGTTACAATTATCCATGTACTGTACACATTCCTGGGAAATATCAAGGCTTAGAAATAACTTACTCAATTATGCAGGAGAACCCTTGAATTAATCCTCTACAAGAAATCTATTTTGTTTACCCGTGAGAGCATATATTCATGTAACATTCAAGTAAAACTTAAACACTTCTAATTAACATATGCAACTATGTTAACAAAATTCTGTAGATTAATCTTGGTAAAGCTCACATAAATGTAAAGCTTACATAAATATTTAAATAGATAACATATTTAATATATCAACATATCCCTTCTTAGTTGAAGTTATAGTCCTTTCATTGTAAATAACTTTCAAACAGAATTTCCCATTATATTAACAGAGCACTCTTAACGGCTGTTCGTAAAATCTTTTTAACATTTGGTATAAAAATGTTTAAACTGTAAACTCCTAGTAGGATCGTAGCAGTAACGACTGTTATTAACATTACAATTATATGTTGTTTAACATTCTAATTGTTAACATTCTAATATGTACTTTAACATTTGTAGGCTGCAAGCTGTATCACAACAAAATACTAAAGGAGCTGTGGCTGGGCTACAATGATTTGGATTGCACCGATGCTCAGCATATTGCGGACATGCTGCGCTTTAACCACAGCATCGAGCTGATTGACATTAGCAACAACAACATACGCGACGAGGGCGCCATGTACCTGGTGCAGGCGCTCATCCTGCAGGCCACCGAGCTGGAGCGTCGCAGTGGCTTGCCGCTGCAGCGTGCGCGAGCCATTGAGGACGATGAGCTGGTGTCGCCCATGGAGACAACGGCGTCGGCGCAGTTGGCAGGCCGCAGCGAGCAATGCAGCAGCCAAATACAGTCGGAGGCACATGCGACTGACCCCAGCACAACGCCAAAAGCCATTGATGTCCTGGAAACGGTTGTCGAGCAGCAGCCAGCAGCAGGGGCAGCAGCAGGAGCAGCAGCAGCCGAAGAGCCGAGCACCAGTGAACCAGCCGTTGCCCTGCTTGTGGATGTGGACAACGATGCTGACGATGACAATACAGAGACAGACACGGTGCGCACTCTGAGGAGCGGCAATCAGAGTGCAACTGGGCAATCCATGCTGGACAAATTGCTTTCGATGAACAGCGACAGCAGCAGCGAGGAGGCGCCATCCAATATATCCACCGACACACTGGCCGCCTGCTGCTCCGAGGACATTAGTGAGATCAGCAATGATGTCTACGATGCTGCTGGCAAATTGCAATCAGCAGCAGCAGCCACAACATCCACAGATGAGTCCACAACGACGCTGGTTGATCCAATTCTGGACCAACTAACTCCATCAATCCAGCAACAGCAAAGTTCCCAAACTGAACGCAACTTATGTGGTAATATACATTTTCGATTTCTAAATGCAATTAAGTTGGTTCTATAGATATTTATGAACTACTTGCGAATTATTACTAACATAATTAACTGACATTTTTGCAGCTGAACTTGCAGATTATTTATTGGGCATATTCCTGTTTTTACTTTAGGGACTTGTTACCGCATGAAAATCGGAAATCTGCCGAAATGAGATTCACATTTTACAAAATCCTAACAAGCGAATATATACTATATACATATATATATATATATTTACCTAGTTGATTGAAAAAGTTTATATAAAAAATATCTTGAAAATGTTTTGAATGCCAAAAGCAGCTGTAAGATATTAAATGTTTGTGGAAATCCTTTGTACGAACGGGCAGGAACCTAAGGCAACATTTATATGATTTTGCACAATATTGATTGCTCGAACATCAGAAAGTTCTGCCTGACAAAGACATATATAGTTTGTTGAAATTTAAAATTGTAATCAAATAATATTTAAATAAAAGATCTAAAGGTATAACAAAAATTAATAAAAATAATATAATGCAGAAAAAGTTGAAAAAAAATAATATTATAAGAAATATGCCAAACAAAAAAATAAAGAATATAATAATTAAAGAAATAATAATATAAATAAAACAATAAATTATTTAAAAATATATATACAAAAAATATAAGCAATTTAAGAGTGAGATTAATAATTAAAGATTGATGTAGTACAAAATTCTAAAGAAACTTGATGCGGCTAAAATGCAAATTCTAATATTCGAGCAACAAATATATATATTTTTTTTTTAGTTATGTTTTAACTTATTGTTATTATCGTATTTCTAGTTAAACTCATCTTGAGTAATTTTAATAGTATTCGATCTCTAGTAAAAGCTTTAATTTATATTTGAAAGTTAATGTGTATATGTTAGTAAAAATAGACTTAAAAGGATTTTTGATAGCACATCATCCACACGTAGGATACATTAAAATTGCCTTAACTATGTCAGATGCCATTGCCCGCATTTAATTGTGTATTTGTTGAAGTATTTATATTTAATTTTTCTTGAATGTTTCATATTGCAGATATTACTCCCTCAACAGAGGCTAAAACCGTTGAACCCCATGAAACCTGTGTACAGAATAACAATGCTAATTCCCACAATAACAACAACAACAACAACAGCAGCAATAGCAACAACAGCAACAGCAACAGCAACCATAACCATAATAATAATCCTGTAATACTTAACCAAATAGCTGCGACTGAGGTAGCATCAGTTGCCGTTAGTTCAAGCGGTGCCGCATCCATTTTTGAGGTGACCGCCGAGGAGAGCGACTGCATCAATGGCATGGCAGGTCCGAGCGGTTCACGGCCGCTGGACATGAACAAGAATGCCAAGAATGCTGGCGATGATTTCGAGGATACGCACAGCACAGATTCGGCATTTGAGAGCGCCTCGGAGGGCGACATCAGTCGCCATTTGCCGGATGAGTTTAGTCGACTTTCTGTGTCGCTGGAGAGCACGCGGCTGGATGATATGGCCAAGGAGATGGCCATTGAGACGGCGACCATAGCCAGTGAGTCCACTGAGTGTCTGCTGGTCGCCGAGGAGGCAGCCACGCCCGCTTCTACGCCCACACCAGTTGTGCACATGCTGCCGCAGTCGCAGCCGCAGCTGGACACAACAGAAGTGATTGTGGCGACGGTGCCCAAGGTAACGATTGCGGCCAAGGAGAAGGAGCCCAGTGCCAGTCCATGTCCTAGTCCAACACCGACACCGCCGCCGCCATCGACATCTCCGGGCGGCGTCAGCAGTGGACTGCGTCGCACCGAATCCAGCTGTGCCTATCTCAATCAGTCAACGCGCAATCGCTCCCAGAGCTCGGACAGTCTGTGCAGCGAGAACTCGTTGGACGGCAGCACGAGTGCAGCCGATCCGCATCTGGCCGAGAAGCTGACCAAGAACGATACACTGTCGCGTCGCCAGCTGGTCGATGCCACACTGGAGGCGGCCAATCGTGCGCCCAGCGGCCTCAAGGCGCTCGCGTTATGGAGCAACAATCTGACCAAGGAGTGCGGCCCCTGCATTGCCGAGCTGCTCTCGCGCAGCTCCTCGCTGGAGCTGCTCAACATTGGCAAGAACTGTTTGTCCAATGATTTTGTGGCCACCATCAAGGACAGCCTGACCAGGAACACAACGCTCACCACGCTCGGCCTGCAGAGCGCCCATCTCAGCGCCAAGGGCATCGAGACGCTCGCCTCCATTCTGACCTTCGGTGGCAACAGCAAATTGCAGCGCATCGATATACGTGACAATAAACTAGAGGTGGAAAGTCTGAACATAATTGCCGAGGTGCTCAAGTCCAACAAGACGATCACCCAAATTGATATCAATGATGAGCCCAAGCGTCTAACGGTAAGTTATTTATGATGTCCTTTCACCCCTGACCCTTAAACTTAAACGCCCCTTCGAACACGTTAATATATTTGCTTTCCATAAGTGTCATAATTCCAATGCAGGAGCTGAAGCTGAGTTCTGAAAGAAGTTATTTTGTTTTACTTATCCAAATGTCAATCACCGCAGCTAAAGTAGCAGGCATTAAATTATAGGGTATCTAATATATAAAAAAAAAAAATGAATAATTAATTAATAATTGTCATGAATTTCAAATTGTTTGAAAAGAAAACTTTAAAGCGACAAAATATCTTAAATATTTGCTTCGTACATTCAATTTTGTTTATAAACATTTTATTATTTATGTGAAAAGTGTTTTCGAATATTCCCAAATATTAAATGCCTTGTCTGGTTCCTTAACATTTTTCAATTTTAACGTAAATAATTAAAGTTTGTTTAAAAAATATCTATTATTTATATAAAAACAGTTTTACAATATTACCAAATATTAAAATGGTCTAAGCCAGGCTCAGGTCGAGCTCGACTTGACTCCGTAAAGTTCGAAGTGGATGTCTTGAAGTTCCTTAAGAACTACATAAATATTGGTTCATGTTTAGTTTTCGTAATATTTTGATACCCAAATATTTGCCTTGGATTTGCCTTGGCTTTTGCCCATTTAATTGACATTCTTGACTTCGGCCTCAGCCGAAGGTATCCGACTCTAGTATATACATATATTCCGAATTGTAGTTGTGTGTTGCGTTGATTGTTGACTTTTATTGAATCATTTTCATTTCGTGCTGTTATTGTTATTGTTATTGTTGCCAACTTCTTCTCCTTCATCGCAAAGTTACCCATTGTGCCGATAGTAAAAGTTGTGCCGCCAACGCCAATGGCCCAGGATAGCGTAAGTAAATCCCATCACAGCCAGCAAATATTTTCTCGCTCCTCTCTTAAGTACTTCTCCGCCCGATCTTGGGCAATAATCGCATACAGATCTCTTTTGGCTTGCTACCACTAATAATTCCGCTAACAATGCTAACAACGCAAAAGCTCTGCAGCTGCAATTTCGTTTTTTATGAAAATCACCTTAGCCAAAAACAAAAACAAAAAAAAACAACAAACAACAAAACAAAAATCCGAGCACGATCTACATTTTTCTTTATAACAACTATTTGAGAGTGTGCTTAACAGAAATGTGTTCTTTTTTAACAATAAAAAAAAAAAACAACAAAATAAATAATTTGCTTTGTTCCTCATTTTAGTTCCAAATAAAAGTTACCAAATTAATAAATTATAAATAAATATTTATTTCGTATTTTTAATGCAATTAAAGCGTTTGTATAGTTCAAATAAAATAACTAAAAATTTTTTTAAATAATTTTAACTGAAGTACATTAAAACGCAAGAAAATCTTTCAGTTTTGCACACACTATAAATAATTGTATTTATTTCTATTAGTTATAGCTTAAATTCAAGTGGCAACTGGTATTAAATGTTGTTGGTTATTTTTATTGTAGATTGGCAGCGATGCGCATTTGGATTATACACGAGTACTGGGCACAGTGCGCTCCATGTGCTCGCGCAATGAGAAAATGCAGGCGGAGGAGCTGGAGCTGGCGGAGAAGGCGGCGAACGTGGGCGGCGGCAACAGCAGCAACAGCAGCAGCAGCAACAACAACGGAGGCAGCAGCAATGGCACCATTGGCGGATCGGGCATCAAGAATCGGTGTCGCGGCGGTTACTACTTGGGCTCGCGGAAGATATCGCTGACGTGCCACAGCCGGCCGCTGGTGGACGCAGCGACTGGCACTGTGTCCGCTGCGCTAGCAGTAACCGCAATGCCGACACCGGCTGCCAAACTGGAGGTGAAGCGCAAGACAAATGCGCGTCTGCGCTCACCGGGTCCCAGTCCGCCCACGATATCGCCGTCCTCCTCGCCCAATCGCAGCCGCTTTCATGTGTCGCGCGTCAACGAGATTGGCAGCCCGTTGACCTCGCCCCTGGCCCAGATGCCGCCCCAGCATCCGCCGACGCCGCGCTCCGCCAGCAGCTGCATGTCCATACCGACAGCCAGCGGAGTCAGCAGCATTAGCAGCAGCAGCAGCAGCAGCAGCAATGGTGGCATCGGTGCCGGCGGGCTGCTGGGCAGCCAGAGCAGCCTTAATGCCATGGCCGTGCTGCCGTTGCCCACGTCCAGTTCGCTGCCATCGATGGCATCGGTAACCTCATCCACCCAGACCGTTAAGCGGCTGTCTGTGTCGCCGCGTTCGCGCTTTCATGTCTCGCGGATCTACGAGGATCCGCAGACGCCACCGATACACTTGCCGCCAACGCCGATGCTCAAATCGGCGCGCAAGGCCGCCGCCGTCGCTCAGCTGGCTGAGGCAACAATCACAGCCGTTGAACACGAACCCACATTATCCGCCAGCACAATGACAACGGCGGCAACAACCACAGCGATGCCCATCAGCAGCGTGATTATTGTGGAGCCATCACCCACCGTCGCGGACAATGAGAACAACGCACACCAACAAAGTACAAATGGGATGGAGCCGGAGCAGGCAGCTATACAGAAGCTGTCGCCCAACTCGCCCAGCACATCATCCAGTTCATGCAGCACCTCGCCCGTCTCCGTGTCCAGTGCAACAAGCAGCACCAGCAGCGGCGCCAGCAACGTGACCACCGACAACACGGATAACCCCGGCAGCCCAAAGGAGCCGGCTACCATTGTTGTTGCCAAGAGCTGTCCCATTGCCGTCTTTGGGGACAACGATATAACGCTCACCAAGGACTCGGCCGCCGGTGCGGTGCTCTCGGCAGCTGCCTCAATCAGCACGGATGCCGGCAATCCTCCCGCAGAGTCCACACCGACTGCAACGGGACAGCAGCAGCAGCAGCAGCAGCAGCAGCAACAGCTACAACAACCGGCGACACGTGCACGCAAATCCTCGTGGATAGCCAATCCAACGACTGTGGACAAGCTGCTCACCCTATTCAATCCGAGCGCCATTTTTCAGCGCAGCTCTTCGCCGGAATCAAAGGCGGCTCCAGCTTCAGCTGTGGCTCCGCTCACAAATAACGCACAGAGTTAGTCAAAAGTCATTAATTTTTTCTCAATTCTAAACTGATTCCCAGCTGAAATCGGATTGTATGTAGGAAATATTATGTAATTGTGATCCGTTTCCGTGCTTCAAGGGGTATTTTTTGGGGTATTTAACACGCAGAGAAGGCTATTAATGGGTAGCTTAAGTTTATATAGACGAAACATTACGCTTATCTGTGGCGTTTTTCAACACTGATTGATTTGATTGACTGTTGATTGCTCAACACTCAGATCAGTCCGGCTTTAAGTTTGGAAAACGCGTGAAACTTTTGTATGAAACTTGTTCTGGAAATGGAAAGGTAAAAGGGAAAAAATTAAAATACGCGGGATATCAAATTGGGGATCGGGATATCAAATTGGGATATTAAATTGTTTAGGCAGTGCAATGCGAAAGCTTGTTTAGGAAAATCGCCAGGGTATGAAGTTCATGGGAAATTAGTTTTTTCTTTAAGAATTTAAGCATAACTTTTCTTCATTTGCAAAGTTTTTGCTATTTTACTTGATGTTCGTGTGCAGTGTTTAATTTTGTGCTGTTCGCAGATATAACAACAACCACAACAACATCAAATGCCGCAACAGGCGGCAGCGGTGACGTCAACGTGACGCTGTTGGCGACACGCAAAACAACGCCGCCAGCGCGAGGCAACGGCGGCAGCAACAATGCGACGACGACAGCAGCAGCAACAGCTGCTGGGGGAGCGGGATCGTTGGTGACAGGAGCATCGGGATTGGAGACGGGCGCCGGCAGCAGCTCATTCCTGGACACAGCGTCGCGTCAGCTGCGTGACTTTGGAAAGCAGGTGTTCCGCCAGAACCTCTCGTTTAACAACAGCGGGGATGGGATGGGCGCTGCGGCGCAGCTGGATGTCAATCCCAGTGCGGTGGCCATGGCGACATCGCCAATATTGAGCAATGTTGCCGAGTCGCCATCGCCTCCAGAATGCAATGCAGTGCACATGCCATTGAGCCTGAAGCGTGAGCTCAAGGAGAACATTTCGCCGGAGCATACCATTAACGAGGAGACGCTGCACACGCTCCAGAAGCTGTCGCGCGTCGAGGATATGACGCTGAAGGCCGAGGCTGCTGCCGAGCTGGGCGACATTGAGATTGTGATGCACAGCGAGGTGTCCGATATGCCGGAAATGGAGCAGCAGCAGCAGCAGCAGCAGCAGTTACAGCCGACGCAACAGCAGCAGCCACAGCAGGAGGATCTGGGGGCTGGTTTAGGTCGTTAATTACTTAACCCAATAAAAGCAACAAAAATGACGTGTGCAATTTGACAATGTTGAGCAGGAAAGGCAGCAATAGCAAACACCCACCTCGGCATTATTCCTGACACTCTCTCTCTCACTCCTCACTTCCTCCCACTCTCCCTCTCACGCTCTTTCGCTATCTCTATGTAGCCCACCCTCTGTCGAAACACCAAAAGCAAGGGTATATCCTACTGCTTCTCCTCGGCCCAACCCAACCCGACCCAACTCTCACACACACACACACACACACACAAAATACTGTAACAATAAGAAACAAGAGTACACAAGTTTTAAACATAACTTTGTTTTATTTTAATATTTTACTATACATATACACACACACATATATACACATATATATATATATATACCTATTTTTTTTGGTTAAATTCTTTTTAAGTTTTATATACTTATAATTATACAAAATATATATCTATATATATATATATACATATATATTTTAACTATGATATCGTATGGCATGTGAAAGCTGCAAAAACTTTAAATGAAATATGAAAACAACTACTTAAATGTATGTAAATTAGGCCAGCAAATTAGGCTAACAAAAACAAAATCAACTATATAATTATATAAACTTTCGGGCAAGTTGAGTTTTTTTTAATTTTTTTTTTTGATTTCGGCATTTTGAAAAGTTGTATTCTTGTATAATTGTTAATTTTGTACTTACCCCCTAACATTTAATTGAAACCAAAAAGATTGTTATGCATACTTAAGTTCAACCAGGAACACACATTACATTATGTTTGCTTAAATAATATATACATATATATATATATAAATATATATATATATATATATATATGGAAATGACAAGCATTATAATAAATCAAAGTCGACACATGGCAAGCAATTACTTATAGAGCATGTATACTTACACTTTATAATACAAGACTTGTGTTTGTTGGCCTGCCACAGGTTGCGCCTGGATTATGTAACATATATGTGTAGATGCTTAATTGAGAAAACAGTTTGCTCGAAATACTATATAATTGAATGATAAACCCACCAGTCAATCAGTAGGCAATGTTAAGTTCAAATGACATCGTACATTCTTACAAATATATATATATATATATTTCATGAAAATCGAAAGAAAGTATAAAACACACAAAAACAAAAACCCAAAATAAATCCAATTGATCTCATTATGTGATATTTGTCGTAGTGCCCAAAGCGTTCACTGTATCAACAACAAATTCGCTCAAAGCGAACAAAACCCAAACAAACCCCAACAAAAGGCAAACAATTTTTTCCAAAAACTAAACGCATATATGTTTTTTTTTCTCTTCATTTTGTTAATTAAAATAAAAATAACCAGCTTAAGCGCAGCCTGTTGCAAATGCCACAAAAAAAATATGCAAAAAAAAAAGAATACAACTTTTCGAGCTGCCAATTCTAGCAAAAAAAAAAAAAAAGAAAAAATTAAACACTGAATAAATATTCATACTTAGTAAAGTATATGAAAAGATCTTGTAAATAATTGATAATTGTTTTAGATGCCGCAGCCCCATTTAAACAATTTACGCATTAAACTAAAATTGATTTTTCTTAGTTTTTCTTAATAGTTTTTGTTGTTAATGTTGCGCTTTTTGTTTTTGTTTTGATCAGTTTATTGTTTAATTGCAATTTTTTTTTTCTCTCAATGATCCAAACATTTTGTTTGTACTTAATTTACAAATTGTAATCATTTTTTTGTGGTGCTCTGAGAATTCGACACTGTAAATGAATTATTTGTTTGTTTTCTTTTATTTGCCAATAATTACATTGATTGACAAAAAAAAAAAAAATATATCCAAAATAGACAATTCTGAAAATGATGAAACATTTATTTTCTCAGCAGAGATTGGCTAACAATTCGTAGACGCATATTTTTATAATTTAAGCTCATATTTAGTAAACCAAGAGAAACTACTAAAAAACAAATTACTGAATAAACTTTTAAAAGTTATAATGAAGTCAAGTGTAAATGTACGATTTATTGTTTTAATTGCTCTATTGAATTTTAAAGTGTTTCCATGGCGACTATTTGTATCGTATACGCATCTTCCGGGCGATATCTTTTCTTATATCCAGGCGAAAAGCTGCACCTTGCTCGGAATATGTCGCAAAGGAGCCGCAGTTTCCTCCCCAAGGAAGTTTAAAGTTATGAAAACTATTTGCGTCTATTTCTAGTTTCTTAAGTCTAATCGAAAATTATTCGTATTAGGCCTGAAAAGAGTCTTAACATTCAAGCACACTTTTGTTGAGTTAATTTGCTTGAATAATGGCTGCATTTTATGCCTGAATAAATTTCATTCAAATAAATTATTTGCAAATTCTTTAAGAGCTCTTTAAATATTATTTGTTGCTCAAGAACACATTAAGATATTTTTAAATTAGAATCAAATTAAATATCTTGACAACTGTTGATATGCGAAACACATGTCCGGCAGGGGGGGGGGGGAGGGGATGGGAGGCATAAAATTTCATTCATAAAGTCCCGAGTTTGTTTACGCCAAGAGATGTGAGTGCATTTGTATGTGTGTGTGTGTGCATGTTGGTATTTGCTTGGGGTTGCTTTTGCCAGCTAACAGAGCGCTGTTAATGCTGATGTTAAGTCCTGAACTCTGTTAAGTCTGAGGCTGAGCTCTGGCTTGGCACAGTTCAAATCTGTGCGTTCAGTTGCAGTTGGCGCTTCGTTCGGTGCGGATCGCAACAGTCGCGAGTGCCAGTGAAATATTCAAAACCAACTAAAAACCCAATTTTAACTGGAGTAGCTGCAACAATTCCAGCCAGCGGCTCTGCTGGAGGCAGGCATGGCAATTGTGGGTAATCTGCAGACACACAAATTTTCATTTTAATTTATTTAATAGCGCTGTCTCGCTGATCCGCCCACACTCACTTCTGATCCAATTTTGATAATTTTTTTTTTTAATAAAAGACAAAAACACCTCGAAAATGTGTGTGTGCGTGGGTGTGTTCGGCTATGAATGGCGGCACGTGACCGAAATTATAAATCACGGCATGGCATTAACATATGTAAATAATGCTGTTGTACATCAAATATTAAGGGGAATTTTAAAAGCTTGGGATATTTGTGTGCAGAAGGGGGTATTATTTAGGAAGTTTAAGCTGCACTTGATAATGTATATAAGGAAATTGAAGGGAAATTTATTTGTTTCTTCATTTATGCACAAGACACGAAATTAATCGTTAATTTGTTCACCCTGATGAACAGTTACTTAGTGCATATAAATAGGGCATAAATCAAAGATATTTCAATATAACAAGCAATATTCTAATGAGTTGGTGTCTGGGACTTTTGAGTTTTAGGTCATGAGAGCGGTTCATGAATTGGCTAATTGCCACCTATTCATGTTATATGTTCTTTATTTGCTATTAAATTTATGTTCTGGCAAAAATCAAATTTGATCCCCGGCCACAAAATATGATTTGGTTAGAGCCCGAGTCAATAATGGTTCGTGATTAGGATCGTTTGTTTTATGTGGTCTTGGTTCAGTACACGGAAGTTAAACCCCTTTTATTTTTGTTCCCTTTTTTTTCGATTAATATCGATTTTCATATTTTCAAGCACTTCTCGATGCTTTCGAGAGCTAGAGATCACCAAATTTGGCATGTAGCATAAACAAATCAAAAAAAAAAAAAAACAAATAATAGAATATTTCACTTTTCGAATACCTTAGCCGCAACTCAACTAAAATGAAACAATTTTATTTATAGCCAATGCATTACTTAGAGAAAAGATTGACGGGCCGGACTGTACGACTGATGTTGGGCAATTTTGAAAGGCTCGCAACGCTCTTCTGGATTATACAATTTATTTTGGTTAATTAACCGTAAATTTAGCCACCAACTGTCAGCAACTAAATTAAAACTTACGACACATTCGAATCTGTGTGCTATTTATACGATATATTCCAACTGAAATATTCAAAAAAAACAATCGAGCAAAGTATCTGCCAGGTACACACACGCCTCTATGTGCATGTATAAGTGCACTCATTGCCACACACACGCACACACACACACACACACACACACACACACTCGCACACACACGCATGTAGAGACAAGTGCTTTCCAAAGTGCTTCACGTTTTGTCATAAATAATAAAAATCAAATTGCCTTTGGCTATTGCCAAAAATGCCGCACACAAAACGAACCAATTCGTCAGAAGGTTATATACACACACACACACACACACACCCACCCACACACAGACGCAGACGCAGGGGCGTTAAGGCCGCTGCAACACCACGCCCCCCGCCCGACCTGTCCACTGGCTTGGTGCACGTCCAACAATTTCTGATGTCCATTTGCCAGCCTGAAATGCCTGTTTGTTTATTTTAACGCAAAAATCTAAAACCACATCAACATTTTTTTATACCCTGAGCCCATTGCAAATGTAGCATAACGGGTATGCTGTGCTTATGCAAATGTATGCAACAGGCAAGAGGAAACATCGTCTGTATGCAACAAAAGAAACTAGAAAACTAGGCATATATATTCTCAAATTTATCCAAAAGATTTCGATCTATATTTTGCGAATAGCTGAAAGATTCAAACTCTTTAGAATAGTTACTGGTTCGGAGACTTGTAAGAGCTAGATACCGATACAGATACAGATTATGAATATAATGTTTACAATACGAAAGATTCTTCATATCTAAGCTGCGTGTAAGTTGCATAAAGATCGGACTATATGCACCGAAGTTAGTCTAAAAAGCATTGCCTATATTTTGGGGCTGTGTCTTGGTGTTAGTGTGTGTGTGTGTGTGTGTGAGTATTCAGGCATAGCAGATTTAGAGGTATCTCTTGGTCGGGCATACCCGATCAGAGCACGTTTTTTTTTTTGCCGCAGAAAACAATTTACGCGCCCGGAGAGGTGAATTTTTGTTTGCTGCTGCTCCGTAACTACAACAGCTAGAAAGAGCATCGGGATCGGCCATCGGCCATCGGCCATCGGCCAGCGCCATCGACATCTGGCCCACTCGCATGATCATATGGAAAAAATTGCTATAAAGTACTAAAAATACAATTACCGTGAGAAATTTGCGCTGATTTTGTGACTGATTGTGAGGACGTTTATAGCCGATTTTTAGTGACTGAGACTGTGCGGGGATGGCGCGGAAGCGGGGGGAGGGGGGAGGTGCGGCCATTTGGCACTTGGCCTGATGATTGAATCATATTTTGTCCGGAGATGTGAAAGAGAGTTGAAGTGTGACGTCGTCGGCAACGATCGACCTTAGTCTGACCGACCTGGTCGTGCACCACTTTGA